ATATTATCGTTATTATTTTTTCCCATTGCACTTTTCAGACTAGCTATATGCCTTATATCCTATATTATATTGTAATATTGTATATAAAATATAATATTGTTTATACATTAAATTTATATTATAAGAATATTTACATCATTCGATATCATTATATAAAGGAGTACTCTTTTCAATAGTTGATTTGGTCTTCACTTTATGTGGATCATGTTATCTTCTTTTATTTTACTCATAAATCTAAATTACCTTTTATCTTTTAATTTCTTTTAAATCTCAATTTTCTTATATTCTTTAAATAACTGTTCACGTAATTATTTACTATATAATTTATATTTATTTTAAAAAATAAAAATAAAGGGGGTCGGAGGTCTCTTTTTTCCGTAGTAATTATTAATAAAATAAAATATATTGTAATACAAAACTGAAAATGTTATATTATTTAATTTTCGTCCAGCCTCTGATTTAATTAGTAACATTCAGTGGGGTGGGCTGGGCTGACCCATAAGAAACTTAGTCCTAACCCTAAAAAATTGGATACATAGGTTAGAACTGAAAGTGACTGACAAAATAAGAATTTAGTGGGTTCAAACTTCAAAGTGGGGTGGGCTTTCTACTTTTATCCAATTTCAAAAGTTCTCCGATTTCAAGTAAGCAAAAAAAAAAACGTTTAAAAAAGCTCTCTTAATGGCCTCGATTAGTGAAAAAGATCCTTTTCCTCACTCTAGCTTTTTAGCATGTTCACATTCTTTTTGAAATCTAAACTGACGGTGGTTTCTCTTTAAGAGGTGTTTGCAAATTGCAGCTAAGATTTGTGTCCAAATAATCAAGATGAAGTTTATGAAACTTGGATCCAAGCCTGATACTTTTCAGAATGATGGGAATAATATCAGGTATCAAACTTACAATTTCACTTCACTTGTGATGTCTATGCAACTTACTTTATTTCCCTTGCTTGGGAGCTTCTATTTTGGGCTTCTTCTGCTTCATGCTTTCTTACTTATTTCCTTCCAATTCCAACTATTGTTTTCATTTCAATTTCTTTCTAATTTGGTTGCTTTCTTCTTGTGTTTCCCTATTCTCTCTGACTGCAATCAATCTTAATAGGCATCAAATCACCGGCAGTTTCAAGATTTTAGTGTTAGTGGACTTTTCTTCGTTTTTCATGTACATACAAAAGTAATCAGTTTTGCAATGTTATTCTTAGAGAACAGATTGGGCAGTGATTTTATCTTCCCAGTGATTCTTAAAATTAGAAGCTATCATTTACTCGCATGAAGATGCTCACTGCAGATTTATACTGGATTTGATCTATGCTTCGCTAGTCATGCTATGTCATTGTATTAGATTGTGATTGATTAGCTTAATTGAATTGAACATGGATTTGGTTGAACTCCTCTGTTGTGGAGGATATGCTACCATCCTTCTCAATTATTTTCATACCTTTCCAAAATTCATGTGAATAAGGTTTTTTCCTAACAAGACAGATTAATATTTTCATTCAATAGTCTCGAACTATTATGCAGTTCGGTCAAATGCCATGTGTTTGGACTATACTATGAAACACCAGTACTTGAATTTACTTTTCGTATCCACACTTGGATACTTCACCTGTATGTATCGAGATACTTTATCTACAGGTGAAGAATCTAAGCCTTTAAAAAAATTCTAAATTATGAAAATATTATCTAAATATCGACATTCCTGGATACTTCAATGATTCGTTTTAGTTAAGTATCCAAACCTTTGAATAATTATGAAAACCCAACACAGTTACATGAGACATATAAACATTAAGCATAGAAACATTGTCCCTTGATGAACCAAAAATGAAAATTGTCATCTTTATGAATGATTTCAAGAAAGGAAGTAATTTATGATGACAATGGTTTATGATTTTTTTGTTTTTAGTAATGTACAAGAAATATGTTATTAATTTGGATTTGCAAAATTGAATTATATATTTATTATGCATTATGAATTTTGATCAAAATTACAATTATATATTTATTATATTTTATGAGTATATATATACATGATGGATCTACTTACTCTAAGAGTAAGTTTTTATAAACTTTACTTGATAATTCATGTTCTATATTAAATTTTAACAATCCAATTCTTGAATTAAAAGTTTTTAATGCATATATTAAGTCTAAGAATTTATAAAAAAAAATTTAAAATTATTTAATATTTCATTTCATTAATTCAAATTAATAGATAATCATAAAAACATTTTACACGTTAATTTGAATTTATATAACGAAGTGTCATATAATTTTTTTAAAAATTTGTTAGTTTGATTTATGCATTAAAAAATTTTAATTTTATGATTGAATTGTTAAAATTTGATATAAAACATAAGTTATTAAATGGAGTAAGTCTATCAAAACTTACTCTTAGAATATGTGGATCCTTATATATATATATATATATATATATATATATGTATATATTAAAATAATTGTATCATCATATGCATTTCGTATCTATGCATCATAGGACTTTGGAATAAAAATATGGTAATAAAAATGTATTCCATTTACTAATGAATTCTAGTATGAGTTTTATTTGGAATGATATTGTTACAAGAGTCCAATTTCTTTGCATATAATTTTGTGTGTCATATTCGAGGATTTGTAAATTTTATCAAATTCTGTATAGTCATTTCATGTTAAATTGAATTCTTTTCAATTCTTTCCAGGTCACAGTTGGTTGGATATGGTATCTGGCATTGCTTCCTTTGCCATTTAATTGACAGGATGCAGTCTATACTATTTTGTGTTCATTCATTTTTGGAATGATATTAATTAAGGAGTTTGATTTCAATTTATAGGCAAATAATGTGTTATATTTGCGGATATGCCAATCCTCTCGCGTTTTCTTATAATGAACTCTTTTCGAAATGAATTCTTTCAATTATTTCGGGTGATGGTGATTTGGATGTGGTATCAGCCATTACTTCCTTTGTCATTTAATTGACAGTCTATAAGTTCAACTTTACTTTTCCTTAGAGTTGTTAAATGGGCCGGACGGGCAATACCTGTAAAACAGGCTTGACCGGAATTTCTTATGGGCCACTTTTTGTGGCCTGGCCTGTTAGTCCATTGGGCCTAGCCAAATTGACTCATTTTATTTTATTTTTATTTTACAAACGAAAAATAAAAAAATTATGCCGGGCCAAATAAGCCGGTAGGTTTTAGGCCCGAAAATTATTGGCTTGGTTGGCCTACCGGGCCAGGCCAGATTGCACTCAGTTCTTTTTGGGCAACTATTTTTTGGAGCTCCGTGTGTCAGCCAGGCCATTTTTTGACACCTCTACTTTTACTGATATATCAATTTTGGTTCTGTTTCTTTCCCATTTTAAAAAATTATATGTCGATGTATAAATATATATTAGTAGGAAGTTTACTATTTGCATACTAATTTGACATGGCAGCTACAGTAATTGGAGTAAAAAATTATGCCCTGTGCATTGCATGGGTATTTATACTAGTATGATTAACATAAGCTTTTCTTTTACACTCATGCACGCATGCTTGCTTCCACATACATTCATGTGCATGTATGACAGTATGTGTATTGCTGTATATCATAAGAGTTAATAGTAACTTTATTTATGTGTAGAAATCATACAAGTTTATAGGAAATTTATCTGTCTTTGTTTCTATACACTGTTGCTTTTGGAGCAAATGACAGAATCTTGAGCACCGTCAATGCCAATAGAAAAGTCTTGATCTTTTAATAAAATAATCAACCGGAAACTTATCTAGAAATTATTAGAACCTCCAGCCTTGCAATGTATTCTTTATATGCTTTTTGTACTTCTATGCAAACGCAAAGAATTGTACTCAATCTATCCATTTTCCATCATCTATGGATATTAATATGTAGGACTTGCTTTGAGTGGCCATATTTGGTTATCTGTTCCTCACTTTCACCATATTTAATGGACAACAGAAATCCATGTATATTATTATTTCAGTAATACCACCAAAAAAGTTTCATAATGATCTTTCCATTGTGCATGCCTGAGATCTTAAAATAATTTGGGTGCCATATTTTTCTTCATTTTTTATGTTTCTTCTTGATTTGTTTCTTTTATTTTAAAACTAACGTGCACCAACATATTTTTGTCAGGTATGTAACAACTGAATTGGCAACTGACATAGTCATTAATGTTGGAAATGTAAAATTTTATCTCCATAAGGTAAGATTCAATCTGATATCGAAGTGATGTAGTAATCTGGTATATAGCTCACATGTATATCTCCCTTTATTAGAATGAAAAGTCTGTAATTCAATCCTGCTGTTATAAATATCTAATTGTGGATATGAAGCATAATCATCTTCATATGTCCTGTCAATACTTTTTAAGAGGGGGAATGTGGGGTCAAATGCTGTTCTAAATTAGTCTAATCGGTTCTTTCCTCTTGAAAATCACAGAGATATTTATTCTTAATGTATTGCAAAAACAAGTTTCAGTAGGGTCAGAGTATGTATGTTAGTATGTCTTTTTAACCATTCAGGTGTTGGTCGATTTTTTACATTTTACAAATTGTTCTTGATTTCATATTTTAATGGTGGCAGCTGTCTCTACTCCACATAACATAAAGTTCCATTCCGGGAATTTTGTGGGATACGTAACATTTGTTCTATAGATTTACAAATGTTAGGATACCGGTTTGGGCCTAAAGCCCAACAGTTGGGCTGAACACAAAATTAGTTACAATTGCTGACGTGGCTAGTTGGTTAGGAGAGGCACCCTAGGTATAGGGAGTGAGGACTGCAAGGACTAAGGCATGATGAATCTTTTCTGTGAGAACCTTGAGAGGTTGGCAGGGATAGAGTCATCTCTTCTCTGAGGAGCATTAGCTCTGGGATTACAGGGGTTATCTACTGTGATAGTTTTCTTTATTTCAAATCAATAATATTGTTTGTGTTTCTATTAAAGATGGTTCCTAACATATTTGCATATAACAGTTTGTCAAAAACTCTCAATTGGATTTTCATAACAGCTTTACATACTTTTCTATCCTGAAAACCTTGTGTAGTTGCGATAGATGATTCGTCTGTTAATACATCATGTTTGCATGTTTGGTATATTTCTTTCTAATTTTTTGAGAAGTATTTTTTTTCTTTTGCAAAATACTTGAAGGAATAGTCTGATTATGGACCTTATAATGTTCTCTACTTTTGATCATGACCTTAAGCTGCTCTATGTATGCAGTTTCCTCTTTTGTCAAAAAGTGCACGGTTCCAAAAGCTGGTTACAAACACTGATGAGGAGAACAATGATGAAGTCCATATCCATGACATTCCTGGAGGACCTGCTGCTTTTGAAATATGTGCCAAGTTCTGTTATGGTATGACAGTCACACTTAATGCTTACAATGTTGTCGCTGCTCGTTGTGCAGCAGAATATCTTGAGATGTATGAAATTGTTGAGAAAGGAAATCTTATCTACAAGATTGAAGTCTTCCTCAACTCCAGCATTTTCAGGAGTTGGAAAGACTCTATTATTGTTCTTCAAACTACCAAGTCTCTTCTTCCATGGTCTGAGGAACTTAAGGTAGTGAGCCATGGCATTGACTCCATAGCCACAAAGGCTTCAATTGATACATCAAAGGTGGAGTGGTCATACACATATAACAGGAAGAAGCTACCATCTGAAAATAGCAATGATCCCCACTTCAATAGTGTGAGGAAACAACAAATGGTTCCAAAGGACTGGTGGGTGGAGGACCTTTGTGAGCTCCAACTTGATCTCTATGAACGAGTTATAACTACAGTTAAAGCCAAAGGTTGTGTTTCTGGTGCTGTAATTGGAGAAGCTCTAAATGCTTTTGCCTCAAGAAGGATGCCTGGCTTCACAAAGGGCATGATCCAGGGAGGAGATATTGTAAAGAATAGATTATTGTTGGAGACTATAATCCGAATATTACCTGTGGACATAGGCAGTGTCTCCTTCAGTTTGTTGGTAAAGTTATTAAGGCTAGCTATTCTGTTGGAATGCGAAGAGTTGGAGAGATCTGAACTGATTAGGAGACTAGGTATGTGCCTTGAGGAGGCTAAGGTGTCTGATTTATTAGTTCGTGCCCCAGTTGGTGAGGCAATTTTTGATGTTGATACCGTTCAAAGGCTAGTAGAAGAGTTTGTAGCGTGTGATCAACATGTTCAGACAGATTCTCTGTTGGAAGATGAATTTCAGGAGATCAGAAGCCCCAGGATGGTATCAGACCCTTCTAAGGCTAAGGTGGCAAAACTGGTAGATGGCTACCTTGCTGAGATTGCATGTGATCCAAATTTACCTCTTTCAAAATTTGTTAATCTTGCTGAATTAGTATCAAGCTTTCCAAGAGCATCTCATGATGGGCTTTATCGTGCTATTGACATGTATTTAAAGGTAAATTCCTTGCACTATAAGTTAGCCTATCTGCTTTGTAAGTAGTATATACAGCTGGCCAAGTATCTATTGCTCAAGTTTTTCTTTTTCTTTTCCCAACTAAAAGTGTTAAACATCAGCTATCTGGAAACTCAAGTTTTCCTTTAAGGACATTCTAATTGGCTAACAGTAATGAAACTCAAGTGGTACATTAATGCATTACTACATTTAGACAAATTTTATCTTCCTCATAGTACCTCCTTCAAGGAGATATTTCAATAGGCTAATGAAATTCTTAACTGACACTGATATACATTCATCTCTATAAATTTTGATGTTAATTTAGTGTGTTAATTTCAGCATTAAATCCTTGACGATGGCTGTCCTATTTGATTATATGAAAACAAATAGATTAATCTCAATTCACCTTAACCATATTTCCAAGGCTGACTGAATGTACTATGTAATGCAGGAGCATCCTGGAATCAGCAAGAGTGAAAGAAAAAGAATATGTAGGTTGATGAACTGCAGGAAGTTGTCTGCAGAGGCTTGCATGCATGCTGTGCAGAACGAACGGCTTCCCATGCGTGTCGTTGTGCAGGTTCTCTTCTTTGAACAGATGAGAGCTACATCTTCAGGAGACATCAGCACTCCGGATCATCCCGGATCAACCAGGGCCTTTCTTCCTGGTGGATCTCATGGGAGCTCAAGGTCTACTATAACAAACGGAGAAGAGGAATGGGATGCTGTGGGTAAAATGGATGAAATAAAATCTCTGAAAGGTGAACTCGATACACTAAAATTATCAAGTGGAAGCAGCGGTGCCAGCAGCAGAAACGACAATGATGGCGGTAAAGGCAATACTGCTAGTAAAATGAAAGGCCTCATGTCAAAGAAGATACTCTCTAAGATTTGGTCAAGCAAAGAAAAAAGTGGTGAGCTAACTAGCTCTGACACATCAGAGAGCCCCGCTTCTACTGTTGTAGAGGAAACAAAATCTACCCCATCTAGAAGTAGGAGACATTCGGTATCTTAGACCATGTTCTGCACACTTTAGAGCTCCATTAAATTATTGTGTAATCATCTCACTCAAGTAGCATCAGGAGTTAGAGGATACTGACATATTCCAGCTGATACTTCAATCAGTTCATTGTAACTGTGAGCAAATGTTGGCATGTGACTAAACATGAAGCACCAAAAGTATATGTTCATTGTGACTATATCATACCCCTAGGGATGCAACTTCCAATCAGCCATTACTGATCGTAGGTTAGATGTGAGCTCTTGTAGTGAGTGACCCAGTTTTGACTATTCGAGATTGGTTTGTGACTGCCAGAACTTGTAAGCATAGTTTTAAAGGGAAAAAAGGAGGATAACTAGAACCAATCTGATGAGGGTGCAGATAGTTTGAACTTTGAACTTTGAAAGGCTTGTGTTGGGAGTATTACTTAGCTTGGATCCGTCATTGATGTTCATTTGAGTATGGGCTCTAAAACCTGTTATACTTAAAATTTACCATTATTGAAATACGAACAGGAGACATTGAGCATGGCAAATTTGAATTTTACAAATATCTTAGACAAGATATCTTATATGAAAGATTGAGAAATCAGAGAATTCAAATTCATTAATTTATGACATCTGAAAATCATTTACCATTTTCTTGAATGTATTACTTGTGATTGTTACCAAATCGAGTTTCAACCAGACATTTTGTTGACTGTGGATTAGCGCCATATATATTTTTAGAAAGAAATTGATGTACGTTCAATTTGTAGCGAGTCGTCCATGTTCAAATTTTTAAGTCACTCTTCTCTATTACCTTTATAGTCTTGCCGTAATCCACAATGGAGTGGGCCTGTGGCCCGGTGACCACAGAAAAACTAGCTTAAAAATAGTACACGGATTAGTTTAATTTCTGAATTTAATTTAATGAATCTATATATATGTGCACAGTGCACTGTTAATGTAAATAATTTTGCAGACATTTAATAAGATTTGATTATTCTTATCCTGTGATTCTATTCATTATGTCTGGGCAATATATTAAATTTAGTAGATCTCTGAAAAAATTTATCACATGGTAAGTATCAGTTGTGCATTAAGCATAGGCAAAAATATTTTTTAAAAAAGAATATGTTATTTGGTTAAATAATCATATTCACATATGTGAAAGTTAAAACTTGAATTTGATCGATTTGGTTAGAGTTTGATTCGAATATGAAAAAATAATAATCAAACTAATTGATTTGAAGCATATCACTGGATTTATTAGATTAATCCAAACCGCTGCATACCCGTACCTAAAAAGGCGAAAGAACGAGTACCTGTGCGTAAAGCTTACAGTGAAAGGTGTCTCAAGAGAAAGAATTCCACGTGGTTGAGAAATTTCAACAATAAAAATCTAAAAGAAAAAATACAATAAAGACATATTTAGATAAATTTCTCCAACAACAACAACAATTATAAGAGAAGAAAAGTAGAAAAAATTAAAAATTAAAATTTATTTTATACGTAAACTAATTTATAAGAGGTTTTAATTTAAACATGTCCTAAGTAAAAAAAAAAAAAAAAAAACATATAAAATACCTCATTAATGAACATGGGGTTGCAATGCTCAACTAGAGGATTTGACACTTTGTGTAGTGGATAAAACTGGACCTATTTCCCCCACTATTAAGGGACTCAGGAAAACACGCCACATGTATTATTTGAGGCCTAAATGGTTAGCTTTTTTTTTTTTTTTTTTTTTTT